ATTTATGGGGTCATTATATTAGAAGTTTTAGATATCCAATCGCTAAAGGAATGGCTTTTTGTTTGGTATGTCTTATATTTGTATTATAAAAATTATTTGTCTGTTTCTATCAATAATTAGGGCGATTCTGGCGGACCATTGATTCAATATTTTTCGGATAGTTATAGTAGTAGTAGTAGTAGTAGTAGTAGTGATGGTGTCATCGATAGGGCAGGACTTATAGGTGTAGCCACAGGTTCAGGTACACCACTTGATGGCGGTTGTGTTAATAGTGATCCAAATGCTTATATGAATTTTATACGAGTGTCTAAACATATTGATTGGATTGTTAACACTGTTTTGAATAACTAAATAATTTATAAATTTAAATAACAATTTAAAAATATAAATTTCCAATATATTTTTTAATTAGAAATTTTTTAGTATACATTATATTAGAAATATATTATAATAAGACAACTTTAATATAATAATTATTAAATATTTATTTAAAATTACTACTACTGTATAATGTACAGTAAAATATATACATGCATATAATATTATTTAATTTAATTCTTTTATTAATTCAATAAATAAGTTGACTAAAATGTTATTTTTTTAAATAAAATAATTTTTAAAAAATTCATTATAAATAATTTGTTTAATAAAATATTAAATGCATTATAAATTTCGATTAATTAAAAATAATCAACAAATACTTAGCATATTGTTATATTTAAATATTTGTAATACATATTATTATATTATATAATATTATTCATTATATAATTTTTAAAAAAAACATTTGCTTTTCAAACATAATAATAAAATTTATTAACAGTCATTTGTTGGTACTAAACAATAATATATTTTTTTGATATATTGTATATATATATATATATATATAAAGAGAAATAAATTTACAGATAGTTTAATTATAAGAAATTTTTGGAAAATAAAAAAATATAGTTAAATATCAATATTATCACTGTTTTAAATAGTATAATACTTTTTATAAAAGTGTTTTTGTTGTATTAATTGCTTTGATTTCGCAATCATATGTTGTTGTCGTTGATGTCGTAATTGAAGTCTAATCAAAGTGTTTGGTCCACACCTAAGGCTGTTGTTATCAAACGGTTGAATCAAATCAAATGCGTGATCATCGCTATCACTAATAATCGGTCCGCAAGTGTTGTCCATATAATACCATTCAGTAGTAGAGTTTGTGCCGTCATTATTGTGTTTTTGACTTTTTTGTTTGCGATAAAAGACTACTACTATCGTCGATATCAACATCAATGACATTACTATACAAACAGCTATCCATATGATGATTGACAACACATTATTATCTGTTGCTTCAACTATATATAAAAAAATAATTAATAACTTTATTAATTTATATATTTTAGTTATGACTTATTTTTAAATAGCTTATCATTACTATTAGGTGATATAGTTGTTGTAAATTGAGTTATATTATCGGCAATTGGACTAAGAGTTGTTAAAATCAGGTCTAAAATTTTTAAAAATTTAGAAATTTTTGTTTTTATTTAAAAATATATTAAATTTTGTAAATAAATTTTCATTTTCTTACCCCCAGCTGTTGTTGTTATGTTTGAATTAATTTGTGTTACATTAGCGGTAAGTGTTGTCTGACTATCAGTGGATATAATAATAAAACCAATGGTATTAAGCATAACATTAAAGAGATCTAAAAAATTAAAATCACATTTTTATAATTTTGTAAATACAATAGTATTATACTATTTTTATTTACTGTACCTTCAATTGTAATGTTAAACAACATATCTATAAATTTACTAAAAACTACTTTATTATAATTATAGATAAATATGAATTATTTTTAAAAATATAAATATCAAGTAATTAAATAATATTACAGAAAATATTTAATTTTTTAATTGATTTTTTTTATAAAACTACCACATATTCAAGTATTTTATATGAGAATTGAAAACTAGAAATACTTTAAAACATATACTTGTATAACAACCGACTATTTATTAAAAAAAACATTTATACTATTAATTGATTTGAAAAAATAACAAAATTATTTGTTTTGAATTTTATTTAACAAATTGTATTATGTATTCACTACTATTTTTTGTTAACTACAATATTTATCAATAAATATATATAACATATATTTAATATCAATAAATATTTATTAGTTATATTAATACTTATGAAATATTGTTTTTAAATTATTAATTCATAATTATATGCATTATATTAATCGTATTATATTTTTAAAAATATTAAAAAAATTATTGTTTATGAAAATTCATACTATTAACTAATTTTTTTAAAACAAAATTATTTGTTTAAAATTTTAGTTAACAAATTGTCTGATAAATGTTTGTTAAATATTTTTACTATTAGTCATAACTCTGCATAATTGTAACAAAATATTTTTCAATATTTATAGCTATTTTTAAATGCAAGTCAATCTTTAGTTAATATGATATATTATTTATATAATTTAGAAATAAATCTATTAAAAAATAATAAATTTTGTTTGCATAATAAGTTTTGACAAATAAAAAATATTTCATGAAATCTTAATACACAAATTTGTAAATAATTAATTTAAATTTTTGTTTTTTTAAAAAAATATTTAGTTTTATTTATATAATATTTATTAAAACAGAAAAAATTAATATAATATTTGAAATAAAAACTTGTTATACAATACAATAATTTTAATAACATTTTAAGTATTTATTAGTACATTAAGTAATTCTAAACTATTTATTGGTTTAAACTGTTTATTGTTTAAATAATAGTATAGTTCTTGAGAATTATACTATTAATAATTATAATAAAAAATTATTATTATTAATAGTAATAAGTTTATAATAATAATATTAGTTTTTTAAAATACTGTATATTTAATATAAACTAGTTTTTATAACTTTTATTAGATTAGAATTGAAATATAACTAAACATTATATGATATCTAATGAAAATATTGTTAAAATTATTTTTGTTAATATTTTATATAATTTTTTTCAATAAATAAAAGCTTAATAATATTAAATTTCAATACATTTCTATTATTTAAATTAAATATATTTATAATTATTACTAATAGTAGTGATAAGCCACATAATGGTCGGTCCTATAGTGTAGGCAAACATATGTTGTATTCATGATATGGTCAGTCATGAAAAGATGACAATATTGTAGTCATCAAACTGGATGATGATCTGTCAATACAAACACCAGATACTCAATCATGGCTTTGTATAAACGCAATCTGTTTGCCTGATCTCGTAGTTGACAACAATAACAACAAGTTGGCACTGATGTCAGGTTTTGGTATCCAACCAATAATATATGATATACTAATAAAAGTTATTATATAGATATAGTATTTTTTAGCCAAACATTTTTAGCATTATAAATGTTTGATTAACCCGACACTTGACTTTTATGCTAAATAAGTATTATTTAAAAAATTAATATTCAATAAAAAGAAATGTTTATTATATTCATATTTATTTTTAATATTTTAATAAATATAATATAAAAACTAATAAAATAAATATAATCTTATATTTTACATGAAAAGAAAACTAAGAAATCTAATAATTATTAAATAAATATTATATTGCTTTATAATGATTAATAATTTCGGTAAAATTAATAATAAAACAAAAATCAATAAAAATTAAATATTGTATTTAATGCTTAGTCAGCATATTAGATATAAATTTGTATATATTTTATGAAATAATTATTACAAGAAACCAATTGTATTTACGAAAATAATTAAGCTTTTATTATATGCTTTAATACTAATTTATTCGTAATATTATGTATATTTATATTATAAGTTATAAATATTAAAATATAGTTCTATTGTATTATAAATGTTAATTTAAATTTGTTAAATAATATATTAGTGTTTAATCAATTTAAAATATATCTAATATGAATATAATATGTTTATAATTTAGTATTTAATTTGATAATAGTTATTTTACTCAATTTAATAAATTTTGTCAATGTATTGTATTTTTGTAATTTTAAATTTTAAAACATTATTTTTGTTGTTGTGATGTAATGATTACTACTGTTTTATAACTATAACTAATTAAATAACTAATGACTAATTCGTCACAATTATTATTAATTTATATTATTATTAATGAATTAATCTTACATTAAAATTATATAATTTAATAATTTTATTAGTTTAATGTTTTTTATTTACTAATGTTAAATATTTAGTTAAAATAATTTACTTAATTAATCAAAATATTATTTTGATAAATAGCCAAAACAAGTAAAACTTTGTTGTTGTGATTAAATAAATGTTTAATATATTATACTTATTATATTTAAAAAATTTAAACATATATTTATCTATTGATAAATACATTTAATATATTTAATTATTTAAAATATTTATATAATATTTTATCATATGTTGTTTTGTTTTTATGTTTTAGTTAATAAAATTTATTTAATTTTATGCATATTTATCAGTTGATATTTAATTTTTATTTTTTAAAATGCTTAATATGCTAATAATTTTAATAAAATTAAATAACATTTATAAAATAGATTTTAATAATTTTTTATAACTATTTATAAAATACTTGATTGTTAAATTTATAAATTTAATTATTTCTAATATTTTTATTATAATATTACTATTATAATTATTATTATTATTATAATTATATTATTATTATTATTACTATTAATATTATAATATTAAGTTTATTTTTACAGTATTGAATATAAAATATTGAAAAAATTTAAATTATTAACAAATTTTTTATGTAGTTAAAAAAATATATTTTTATTACATTTTAAATTAAAATCAAAATATTTTCTAAAAATTACAAATTGAAAAATAATTCTTACAATAATTAAAATAATTATTTTGTTTATATATATATATATCAATAAATTTATAGAAATATTTAAACTTATAATATATGAATAAATAATCTATTTTTGGAGAAAAAATAATATACTGCTCTTTATATCATATGGTTTGCTAATGAGTATCAATAGTATATAATATTTATAATAAAAATGATAAAAATAATTAATTCATAATAAGTAAGTATTTATATGATTATAAATTAGGGAACAGTTGTTTGTCATGAGTTAGAGACTGAAAAAACTAGAGGAAGAAATAGAGAGAGAAAAAGACATCCATTGATGTGAACTATAATTTGAAACAATTTAAACAATTTTCATTGTTGTTGTGTGGATCCAAACAGAGCTCCGCCATCCATAAGCAAATTGATACCAGTTATAAACGATGCCTCCTCTGAGGCCAAGTATTCAACAGCGCAGGCAATATCGTATGGCTGTGCTATGCGACCGATTGGATACTGTTTGCTACGGATTTCCTTAACTTTTTCCATTGGCATTATATGGCCGTACTTTCGCTCGAGTAGTGGTGTATCAGTGACTGCCGGACTAATCAAACAAACAAACAATTAGTTAGTTAGGTAGGTATGGGATGTTTGTCACATAAATATAATTATCACTTACTTAATGCTATTAACGCGAACACCTTTGGGTGCCAACTCTAATGACATACATTTTGTTAACATATCAAGTGCTGCCTTTGACATACAATAACAAGTAGTTTTCGGGCTCTGTATATAAACAACAAAATATATTTTTTTTATAAATAAATAATAATACAATAGTTAACACCTAATGATTACATACCGGTTTCATTGATGCAATACTCGATATGTTAATAATGCAACCCTTGGTCTTCTCCAAGAAAGGCATCGCCAGATGCGATAGCATTACAACACACCTGAGATTTGTGTCCATAATTTTTGTATACATTTCCATAATATTTGGATCACTCATATATGACAGGTCCCCAACACCGGCATTATTGACCAGAACATCGAGTCGACCGAACACTTGAATGGTTGTATCGAACAGTTTTTCTACATCCCTGTCGTTTAGCAGATCGGCCGCCACTGACACCACTTTTTTGCCCGATATTTTGCGGCACTTTTCGGCCACTAATTTAATACGTTGTTCGTCACGACCGGTCACCACAACATTGGCGCCCAATTGGGCCAAATGTATGGCAGTCTCTTCACCGATACCAGAGCTCGAGCCTATCGAGTGATCAAAAATTAAATAAAATAAAGTTATTTAAAATTTCAAAATAAAATTATTTACAAATAAAATATCAATTTTTTTTGTTTCCAATACATACCGGTAACTAAACAAACTTTTCCATCAAATTTAGTCGAGAAAGACATTATTATTATTATTATAATATTTTTTATATAATTAAAATTTATAATTATTTTTTTTGCGAACACAATTATAATGATTAGAAAAATAACTTTAATATTTTATATTAACAAATTATTATATCACAATTAAATATCAATAATAAATCGTTGAATGACTTTTATATTAAAAAAAWAATAATAATTAAAAGTTAATGAAACTGTTATTTATTTATATAGTAATATTATAGTATATTTAAATTTGAATGACTTTTTTAGTAAATTAGTTTTTATTATAACTGTTTGATTGGCTTTTATTTTTTAGGTATCAGCTATTGATGACTACTCTCAGACAGTCTGTTCCCTTGTATTTATAGGAAAAATTTTGTCGTTTTATTTCTTTAATGTCAAACCTAACGATACAAAAACAAAACAAAAAAAACAAAAAGTTTTTGATTTATTTTGCCTTTAATGATAACAATCATCACATTTTAATAAATTTATGAAGTGTCTAATAATTTTTTTTGTTGTTGATTAAAATTATTATTATTATTATTATTAGAAACAGATATTATTTGATAAATATATGTTTAATATGTTTTTATTGGCAAAACATCAAGGCGTGCATTTTAATAATAATAATAATAATAAATATTATAATATCACTCATTGATTTATATTTATGATTAATAATATCATATATTTAATAGTAATGTATATAAAACACTATAAACTATTTGATTAACATTTTAATGGACTATAAACTATGGAATTTTTGTTTATTTATTACTACCCCTATTAATAGATATGACATCCCCTTTCWGTTTCCCCTATTTTGACCCCCACTTCCCCTCTATTTCCGTACTTCCCATTACTGAGACAACTATTAAAGATAACGTATTGTTTAGATTAAACCCCATATGAGAGACCAGTCATCTGGAAATTCAAAGCTCGCTATCGTTTTTGTTTTTTTTTTGAATTAATTAATTAATTACACAAATTGAATAAATGACACCTTTTTAGACAAATTTTTGCAGATCTTTGTATTTTTTGCTTTTATTTTTATTATTATTACAAAATCAAATTTACATTAAATAAAATAGTTTTAATTGTGTAATTTAATTGAAGGATATCTTCAATATATAATTTTCTTTTTTATTTTATTTAAATTTCACGTATACTCACATTGAGTGCCAATTTTAATATAGATATCTATTTTTGTCTTTTAATATATATTTTATATAACTTTTTTTATTTATTTTTATTTACATTCCCTTAATTAATGATCAATAATAATATATTCTATATCTATAATAAAAATTACAAATTGTATATTTTGTATGTATAATAAAACCAATATTATATAAATATAACTATCATAATCATAAAAATGATCAAATATAATTTTTTAACTTTATTTGTTTAGCAATTATCTAAATATATAATTTTGTTGATAAAATTACATCCAGATTTTTCTGCTTTATTCAACCAAAAATAAATTCAATTTTATTATTATTATTATTATCTATTATTAAGTACAATGTATTTCATAAATAAAATTTTTATAGAGAGTTCATTGTTACTATTATAAAAATGTAAAAATCTAATTTAGTTTTTTATATTTCATACAGTACTTCATAAATTATATAAATCTAATTTAAAATAAAATAAGAAATTATTATTTTTTTAATAAATAGCAAATTTTTAATTAAACTCAATTTTTAAAACTATTACAATTTATTTAATTTTGTTTGTTCGTTTATTACACACTTTAAAAAAATTATATATTTTATTTATAATTTATATAATAGTTTACAATAGATATTTAAAGTTTTATTTAAATATTTATTAAATAATTAGAAAAACGGATTACCCTGTATAAATTGTGTTGCATTTGACAATAATTTATAATAATGATAAATATGGAGCATACTGATTATCTATGATTAAATAATTCAATAAAATATCATATAATAATTTACGTTTGAATGTGTAATGGGTTTATTTTTGCATGCATTCAATAGTCAAAAAGCAGTGATGGAAAATTTTAGCCGAGGGTAATTTATAAATAAGTTATTTATACATTTATTATATATATATATATATTATGATATAAATATTGTTATATAAATTACATATCTTATGGTAATGATTACATTGGAGGAAATTTCCATCACTTATATTTTTAGTGATTGCCTTAATTTTTAATGCCAAATACCTGTGCACTTGTTAACAGTATAATATTATTTTAGTTTTAGTAAACAGTTATATTCAGTAAATATATGTCTTAACAATTTTTTCAATATGTTTACCATTTAATCATATGTTGTCTAAGAAAATTGTATTAATTAGTTTAGATTATACTATTTTGTTGAACAATATTTTTTGCTGTACTAGAATATTCGGTGCACTTTATCATGTATTTAATTATTTTTATTTAATATTACTAACTTTGAGAAAATTATTGAAAAAAATAAAATATATTATATGATAGCCATGTATGTCTATATATGTCTTTATGTGTGTATGTACTGTATATGTACATATATTTATTTATTTATAATATTACCATGGACCATTATCAGTGATAGTAAATATGTGTACGATTTCTAATAACTGAAAAATGTTTTTTTTTTAAATTGATTCATTCAATTAAACATTTTGTAATATTTTGCTTAATTGAGAGAAAGATCTACAACTCATTGGTATTTCTAGTAATTTCTATATAATCATTAAAATTAAAATATTTTCCACTTTTCCGTATTTCCTGTACTAATAAATATATGTATGTAATGGAAGTTTATTTTAAAAAATTATTAATCTTCTAATTATTTATTTATTTTAGTTTTTTTTCTATGCTTTTATAAGTCAGTATATTTTTATTTTTAATTAAATATAATATTTATGTTATTATGTTATATACTAATAATTGAAAAAGTATATGATAATTTTTGTCCAAAGAAAAAAGGTAAAAATATATAAATGTTCATGTTTACTTTTTTATAAATATATAACCTTTCATAAATAAATATAATTAAATTAAATTAAAATAATTTATACTTTTTAAACTTAAATTTTATTTATTTATTTTAATTCTAACTAAATTAGATTTATTATTATATTTCAAAAGACTTTATTTATTTATTTATTAATTATTATTATTATTATTATTACTGTAAAACTTATAATAATGTTTATAATAGTTCATTTAAAACAAGGGCATTAACTTAAAACAAAATTAAAAAAATAAGTGTAAATACTGTATTCAACAACAAATAAAAAAAGTTGAATGAAATTTTTATACATATTTTATTGAACTCTTCATATAATGTATAATAATATTATATAAAGAAGGATATCATTGAATAATCTAATCGTTTATAAATAATAAGTAAGTTTTTTATAAGTTTGTAAACATTATTATATAATATGTAATAACTTTTTTATAGTACTATATGTAATGTTATTTAATATTATGTTATATGAATTTTTTTTAAAACTATACATTAATGCATTGTACTATACATAAATTTGTTATATTATAGTATCATTTAATTGTAGCAAAATTATTGTTTATTTTTTATTTGTTAATGATCATCAAATTTTGACATATTATTTGATATGTGAAATAAAGTTTGTTAAAAATTATATTATATTATTATTGCGAAATAAAAATTAAGTAATAATAGATTATTTTTTGTTGCTGACAAACAATTAACTAGAAATTTTAATTTCAAACATAGATAGTGACATTTTAAAATTTATTATTGCAAAATAAAAATTAAGTTATTAGCAAATATTATGCTATTTAAACATTATTAATAATACAGTAATTTTGTTACTAAGGCTTGTTTTTATAAATTATAAAAAAATAAATAAAAATAATTCTAATAAATTATATCATTTTTATTAAAAGTTATTATCAATGCAATAATATTATTTCCGAAAAAATAAATTAATAATAATCAAACAACATTTAATTATAAATATTTTTTAATTATTATTATCAATTAGTAAGCTATGTTGCAATGATAAAGCAATGTATGTATTAATAGATAAATARYTATAGACACGAGGCAATTTATTAAATTAAATATGTCTATTAAAWATTTAAATATAATATAATAGATTGAAAATTTAAATGAAATTGAATTTAAGTGAAATTGAAAATTTAAATTGAAGATTTTTTATGTAAATATTTTACATTTTTTTTAATTTGTTAACAAAAATTGAATATAAGATAATTTTTTATTTAAATTAATTATTAATAGATAAATAGCTATAGACACGAGGCAATTTATTAAATTAAATATGTCTATTAAATATTTAAATATAATTTAATAGATTGACAATTTAATATTTTAAGTTTGCATATGATTTTATTTTTTTATGTAAATATTATATATTTTTTTAATTAGTTAACATAAATTGAATATAAGATAATTTTTTATTTAAATTAATTAATTACTTAATTTCTTATGATGTCTTGTGATTTACTAAATTATAAATATTATCTATACATAACTGTAAAGTTTTTATTTATTTTTTCAGTTTTAATACATTAACTTTTAATAACTTTAATTTTTTTATGCAAATAATTAATTTAAAATATAAATTTTGTTTTTCATTAGACTATGATTTTTGTATTGACTAATATTTTTATAAAATTAAATAAACAATTTTCTACAACATTAATAGGTTTATTGATATCTAATTTGTTTATCGGTGGTCATAGTTCTCATAATATCTCATAATTCAATGTAATTTTAACAACAAATTTATTTTTTTTATTGATAGTTATGTAGAAAATATTTAAAAATGTTATTATTGTAAACAATATAATAATAATTTATTTTATTAGCTTAAGAAATAATTATCAATAATATTTACCGGTAATACTAAAAAATTTTTATTATCGACATTTAAATCATTTAAATAATAGACAATTATTAATTTAATTTTTATTAGATAATATAGCGAAAATTAATTAATTAATTACACTTATCAAGTAATACTGAATTTAAACAATAATATCATATTTCAATAATATATTAGTTCATTATTTTACTATTAATAAATTTTTATAAATTAATTGATCACATTATATCGTACGGTAATTGTTTTCACATTAAAACATCAAAATAAATAACCTATCGGTAAATGTTTTTTTTTGTTTGTTTGATTAAAACAATCAAAAATAATAATAATGTTTATACAATCTACAAATATATTAAATTTTAACAATTTTATAATTTCAAAAAAAAATCATAAGTTAACAATAGATTACAATTACCGGTACCGTAAATAAGGGAATGTTTGTACACAATTATAATAAATTATATAATACTATCAACTCAATTGACTCAATTATTTTAATTACACAATTAAGCATAATTTGTACCAATATTTATCACTTATTAAGTAAAAATAAAATCAAACATATTATTAAAATAAATAAATATCTAATACTAATTATATTATTAATTTAAATTCATAACTTAATTGCTTGATTCTTATTACTATTATAATTATATTTCTAAATATAGTTACTAAATTATATATTTAAATATCCTTAATATATAGAAATTAGTTACCAAATCACAAATATACAAAAAAAATGCTATCATTATTTATAGTAAAATATTTTTAGCAAATAAATCATTGACTATTTAATACATATAATCAATGTATGACTTGTTTTGGACAATAGACTAGTAGTTTCCTTATATATATAGTTATCATTACCGGCAGTCAGTTATTACGGGTAATAATCATGTGTGATATCATTTGGTAGACTAGATTTGGTAGTTATTGTTAGTGTAGGTAATGCTATTGCTGTGCTAACATCAGGTCCATCTACGATAGGGACTATTATTGCAAATACCGGTCGGTGACCACCAATTGGCAATGTTTGTATAACTGCGGGATGGTTTCGGGTGACGGGAGTGCAGTAGTGCACACACTCGACACCAGAAGTATGTGTTGATAAACTCGCCGCCGCCAGACTTCCACTCAAAGTATTCATTGTAAAGGTCATCATTTGTGGCCAATATGTGAAGATATCTGGCCAGTGATTCAGGCGATTCAAAGTCATCGACGTGTATATAGGAATGTTTGGGCGCCAAACGGGTGTAGTCGTCACGATGAGCGCCCATCACTATGGGTATCAAATTGTAGTCCAATGAATTGAGACTATAATATAATTAATTAAATAAATCATTTAAATTATAGGTACCGGTAATTAAAAAAAAAATAATAATAATACTAACCCGAGACCATTGATATAGAATTTTTCGGTTATATAGTCGCGACAATTGGAGTTTTCAAAAGCCAAATAAAAACGGTAGTCCCGGTTCAACATATCGAAGCATTGTTGGGCCCGATTACGCGGACACTTTTTATTACCGCAACTATATATATATATATATATATATATATATATATATATTATCAATACATTATTACCATTAAATTATTTAAATAAAAAAAACAATAATTAGATAATAAATACTCTATTTATTAAAAATTATTTCGCTAGTAGTAGTAGTGGTGGTGTATTTCATGCAATATTCAACAACAACAACAATAGTGATATATCTATTTGGTGTATGAAAAAAAAATTTAGGAATATTTACTACAAATTAATTATAAATACAACAAAAATTAATTAATTAATTAATTAATAGAGACAATAACCTGCCGTATATGTCGACCTCAATATAACGAGACAGTTGACGGGCATACTCGAGCCGTTTGTTACGGGCGCCACAATTTGATACAAACCAGGCCACGTACTTGGTCTTACCGTGAGCCCAGTTCTAGTAAGCAAAAAAAAACAGTAAATATAAAATTATATATATATACCGATACATATTATTATTATTATTACCGTAGGTCATACCCCGATAATAACAACATTTATATATAACAAACAATAAATACCCGTTTGGCGGCTGACAGTTGCATATTATTTTGTTGTTGTTGTTGTTGTTGTTGATTGAGACCAACATTTAAATTTAGCGGTTTGTATGGCACAAACTTTTCATACGGGGCCACAATATCAGAATCGTGTCGGTAAGTGGCCGTCCAATTGAATACATCGGCACCCAAACTGTTGAACAGTTGTGTATGTGAGGGACACTCCAATAGGAATAGTATCCATATCTGGTTGACTGGTCGGCGATGTTTTGGCCACTGGAAACGTTCCTTGAATAGTATGGCATCCGCTTGGCCGGCCTGAGCACCGTTCGAGCTGAGCACACACCTATCGACTGGACACTTGTCGGCGATAAACTTATTGCGTCCCATCGGCAGATCGTGCCAACCGTTTCGGCCCATATACAGTACAATTGTCTTTAATGGCGATGTTTGCCGATCGTAGCTGTCGGGCACATACATCAACTGATTGACTATACGGTCATCTGTTGGCAACTCTTCCGGCCAAATGGCCAGCGATCCGGATATTCGTTTTGTTGGCCTACGGGTGCCATTACTCATGAACCACGGCTTTTCGTTAAATAAGTTCACATGATATGAGTGACTGTGATCACCGATATCGGCATTCATAGCATTAGTAGTAGTAGTAGTGGCGGCCGATAATTGATGGTCTCTATTGTTTGGATGGTTTGATGATCTTGTTATCGGTGACGACGACAGCCTAACTGATCCCAAGTCAAGCCATATATAATTGGTAACCAATAGACTGACGGCAACAGTAATGACAATTATAGCCAATAAAGCCCGACTTGCTGTCAGTCTAACCATTACTACTACTACTACTACTACTGCTGCTAACCATTACATGCCATCAAAACCTAAACATATGGATCAGCTCTCTCTCAGTCATAATATCTATGTTTTTCTATAGAAAATCAAATATCATATCAATTAATATCATATATATATATATATATATATATATATATATATATATATAACTGTATATAACATCATATTATAATACCTTATTATATACAGTATTTTGATGTCACATATAGTACAGTATAATAGTGTATATCCTATCCTATTATCACATCAATAGATAGCCATTATTATGATATATATAATAATCAATAGCCTTAACAAACCAGGAAAGGCCTACAATAACAATAACAACAACAACATACCGGTGCTGTGCACTCAAACATAACTATCACACTTAATACACAGATATTTATATCACATTTGATATACAAAATTACAACATTATTATTATTATTAATAATATATTAATTGTATAATCATTTTGACAATTGATTGCATAAATAAATTATTGTTTGATTCAATCAAATATATAATACAATTATACGGTATATAAACTAATTATATTACAGTAGTTGCTATGACAACACAGCATATTKGTCACACATGTGCACAATATTACTAATACATACATATTTTATAAATACAGTACAAGTTTTTAGACAAATTATTATTATATMAAAAAAAAATTTTAATACAAATAAATTAATATAATTTTTTAATTATTAAATTATAAATTAATAATAATATATGTTTTTAATTGAAATGCAAAAAATTGTAAATAATATATATATTGAAAACATTATTGTKAATTGTTAACCAACTTTTTTTTAAAATAAATAATTTCATATAAAAGTTATATTAATAAAATATATATAAATTTTTATTACTAACTAAACATCAAAATTATTTAACTAAAAGTTACAACTTTTTAAATGTAGATTATAATTATTAATATTAAATCTTATTAATGTTTTTAAAATTTAAATTTAAATCAATAGATTTTTWAAAATTTTATTACCAAAATCATTGTATTAAATATTTTTTTTCAATGTGTTGAAATAAATCCCATTTGTATTATAAATCAATACTATAGTTAATTTATATTGATATAGTGTTAAAAAAATTATTTAACATAAGATTAATAAAAAATTATTAAATATATAATATTAGAAATTATAATGCAAACAAAAATAAAATAAAATAATAAAAGGTTATGATTATTATCTTTACAAATATTTCCAAATTTATTGACAAAAAAAATTGCAAAATAATTAATGAAAAAAAATGAAATCTATTATTGAATTGTTTTCCAATTTATAAACAATAAATCATTTCAAGTGTTTATATACTGTTAATAAAAACTGTGTTTTACTTTTAATAGTAAACACAATCACACAGAATATTAAAAGACAAACAATAACACAATTAATTAATAGAAAACTAGACTTTTGTTTAAAAAAAAAAATCAAAAACTTGTTTTTTCAAAAATCAATTGTTTTATTTTTATTCATAATATTTGTGAAGAGTGTTTCTTATAATCTACACATTTATATACACAGATATAACAAATTTGTAAACTTTAAAAATCATTTTTTAACAGTATATAGATATTCAATCAAATAGTACAGTACTATACCAAATAATATTTGCTAATAAAGAAAGAGAGGATATACTTTACAGTAAGATATTAACATTACAGCAAAATACTGTATTTTAATGAAATATATGTGTTTTATTAGCAATTAACTACCGAGTCGTTAACTAACTGTTATGCAATAATGATTGTACGCATACTGTTGTTTGGTTGGGGGGGAACCAGTGGGTGATGTCTACACTATCTGTGATTATCTATATGTCTATACATTTTGAATAAATGTTTTTTTCCAACAATTTTTCGACTCAATTGTCATTTAGTTGTTTTGGGCATCACTTGTATGATCTTTAATTTTAAATGCAAATAAAAAGTTTTTTAATTTTTTTTTATTTGAAAACATTGTATACAACGCTAAGTTTTTATTAGAAAATATTATTATGTATTTCACTAAATTTATTTATCAATTTTTTTATTGTTGCTATTTTCTACTATTAATATCATTGTTTAAAAGTGACAATTTTATTCAATGCAATGATTTTATTGTACAAAATTCTACATTGAGTGCTAAAAATAATAAAATCAATAATAATAATAATTTTACATTAGATTTAAATGATAGTAATGTTTCGTCTAAACCGAGTCTATGGAGTGATGTGTTAATTGCCACACAATTGTATAGTCGGTCACTATATGATGATTATCGACAACTGTTTCAATTGTTATCTAAATCGGCTAATGTTTCCCAGGACTGCCAGATAAGTGTTAGACAAACATTGGATGCATTGTTACAAATGCAGGACTGGGCTCATCAAAGTAAGCTTTAAACTAATTACTTATCATTTAATTTTATTTAATTTTTGGTAAACATATTTTACTAAATTAAAAAAATACAAATTTTATAATATATTAGATTATATTGTTAACCAATAATTAATACTACAGAATAAATTTAAAAATATTGAATATATTTATTGAAGATATTTATTTAGTTTTTATTATTATTATTATTATTATGCAATATTTGTAAAATATTAAATAAAATTTTTATAACAAGTGATATTGAAAAAACCATATAAATAATATTTATTTATTTTACTGTATATAATTTAATAATGTTATTTTATAAAAAAAAAATTAAAAGTGAATATTTTAAAAAACATAATTTAATTATTTGGTAAATATTTTTTGTTTTGTTGAATAAAACTAACAATATTTGAATAAATGCTTTTAAAAACCGTATAATTAAGTGGATAATTTATTAGCTTTTTTATTATTAAATAATTTTTATTTCTAATTGTTATAAAAAAACATATTTACTAATATAATAGTTATTTTCAATTTATTATTGAATGGCAATTATATATCTAATAAGGAACAGAACTCAATATAAGGATTAAAAATATAAATATAAAAAACCGCTTCAAAAACAACAATAGCTTTAAAATTTAAATATATCTATATATTTATGTCATTAAACAGTTGGCACTCAAGTATTACAAATTATATATGTATTTTTCATATTTATATATATATATATATATTCTCTTTAATAATATTTTTAAATGTATTTAAACACTACTCAACATTGCAAACATTGTTAATAATAAAAGAGTTTGAATATTACAAACAAAACAAAAAATAATATTATAAAACAAAATTTAAATATATTATTTAGACCTTATAATTGAGGTTAAGATGTCATACATTATTTTAAAACATCACTTACTATAGATATAACCATAATTGTAGTTCCGATTGCTATTTCAATAATTATTGCATTTTTAAATTTATTATTATAATAATTATAAGTAGTAGTAGTAGTAGTAGTAGTAGTAGTATAATTTTGATAATTATACATATTTAAAATTTGTTATTAAAAATAAACGTTATGCTATATTTTTTAATAACTTTTATATATAATATATACAGTATATATAAATCAAATATAATGCTTAAAATTATCGTTTTTATCAAATAAATGTTACAATTTTATTAAATAATAGTTATAGATTTAAATTAACTAGAATTAAATAAGTCAATAAAACATTTATTTAGTAGCTTATAATATAAAATAAATTAATATGTTATAATTAATATTATAATGTTACATAAAATATACTTCAATTCCACAATAAAGTGTTAATATTTTTTTTATTAACAATTATTTATTAAAATTTTTAACTAATTTATCATTGCGATGATAATGTAGAAAATTAATAAATATAATATATGTACAAAAAATCATTAAATTAACTTATCAAGTATTTTAAATTATTAACCACAAAAAATACAAATAATAATTTCTTAATTTATTATATTTTAATTTAGTAAATAATTTTACATTTAAATAAACACATATGTAAAAATTAATATCATTATATATATAACTATTATTTTTTATTAACAAATATTATATATATAGTTTATATTTTGTAATTAATTAATTACTATCGTATTATTAATAGTATAAATATAATTATTAGAAAAATCTTTTAATATGTGATAAAAATTATGAATTTAGTGGTCAACTCTTGGGGTAAATTTCCGGCATCGGGTCTATTGGAGGGCACGACAACCGATTTAGGTTCATATGATCAGTGTTTGTCAATCAAGTCTAACCAATATATTGGTGAACCGCAATACTGTATGATTGATTTGGGACTACCGGTACCGCAGCCGCAGCCCCGACACCATAATCTCAATCATAGAGTTGATGTACTTCCGCACCATTTCATCAAAAATATCAGTTTCGCAAATCATTTGTTCACAAGACTATCAAAAGAGGCCTCATTTTTCTATTGGATTTCATTGAGAACCGGCATATGTGTGCCCAATAAATGTACATTCAATGACATGGATCAGCTAACAATTAAATGTAACAAACAAACTGTTATAATTAAAAAATAATTATTATATCATTTAAAAAAAATATATTACATTTTTTAAAAATAATAATATTAATTGATAGATGATTGATATATAACTAATTGTTTCAATTTAAGAAAATAATAATAATAATTCTTTGTATTGTTTTTATAAAATTATTATTATTATTATTATTATTATTATCGTATTATTAGTTTTAAACATCAATGGATTGACAAAAAAGTCAATTAGTTGCGAAACGAAAAGTACAAATCAAATTCAACTTAATTACACACAAATATTTGCAATGTATGTCTTTATAATGTTTATTATAGGCAATCAAATCTTTTTTTGTTGTTGACATTAATTTCTTTATTTATTATTATAATTATTATATATTAATTAACTGTAATTTTTTTCAGATCAGTAATAATACTATTTGTATCACTGGGTATTATAGCAACAATCACTGAATATATTGTATCACCTAAAAGTTGGCATAATTTATTTATAATTTATTAAATTTAAACTGATTTTTTTATATAAAAATAATTTATATGTATTTTTTGTTTTGTTTTGTTTTTTTATAAATATATATACAGATAAATTATTATTAGTCTATATATTTTCATTGAACAAAAATATTGGTAAACTATTGAGTCCTCAAACATCGGAAACATTATCATGTCTTCACGGCATACGAGTCCTCACTATATTTTGGGTAGTTTTAGGCCATACTATTGTTTGGGTTCACTTTCAAATGTTCAGTAATTATATTTAATTAATATATATATATTTTTTAATAATAATAATTATTATTTGCACTTTTTTAATTTACACATTTAATTAATAAACAATTATACTAAAAAGTTTATTTTTCTAAAAAAAAAATATTTTTTAGGTAACAGTTTTGCTGCTAAAAATATTTTAACTTCAAATTACAATCAATTATTGCTCAATGTTGAATATGGTGTGGATACTATATTTTTTATCAGGTTTAGTTATTAGTTTATTATTATTTTTACAAATATATTAACAAATTACTTATTATTATTATTATTATCAAATTTATATTTTAAAAAATATATTTAGTGGTTTATTGACAACTTATATAACATTAAGTCTAACTAAAGGCAAATCAGTTAACTTAAATTGGTTTGGATTTTTGATATCCCGGATAATGCGTTTGACACCACAGTTGGCATTATTTTTGTTATTTAATTTTTTGTTGCCATTGATGGGTTCGGGACCAATTTGGCACGAAACCATTGATAAACTAATTAATAAATGCCAACAAAATTGGTGGCTTAACTTATTATATGTACAAAACTTTATCGATGTCAATAACATGGTTAGTATTTATTATTATATTATAATTATACTGTATTTACTAATTGTTAAGCTAGTTTTAATTTACACATTATTTTTATATAAAAAGTTATAATCTTAATTATCTATAATATTTATACCATCTAATATATCTTTATTTTTACACAAAAAAACAATTTTTATATTTATAAAAATCTGTTAATCATATGATATAAATAATTAATAAAGTTGAATTAGTTTTTTTTAAAAAAATCATTTTAAATATCAATTACTTAATGTCATATTCAATGAGTTTAATAGACTGATTATAATAGTATTACAAAATTTTTAAATTATTATTTGTAAAATATTGATGCTGTTTATTATTTTAAGTTATTGATTAATAATAATAATAATAATAATAATATTTTGATATACTTATCTACTTATCTATCTAGTGTGCCCACCATACATGGTATACGGCTAGTGATATGCAATTTCATTTTCTATCATTGCTAATAATACTGGCCTTTCTATACAATGTGCGATTGGGATTCATTGTCAATATTTTGACGATTATAACGTTTGTTATCATATCATCGGTCATCATATATGTCTATGATTTGCCGCCGGCTATTGTCAACACTGGTCGCGAGTAAGTGTTAAACTGATATTTTATTTTTGTGTCAAAATTATTATTATTATTATTTGTTTTGTTGTTTTTATCAGCCAATACTTTCAGGACTATTATGTTGAACTATTTTACTACAAGCCGTGGCCACACGCTATCATATTTTTTACCGGACTGGCCTTCGGGTTCATAGTTTATCGTAAAATGTTTTTCACACTAAAAACTGTATGTGTTTTTTTACATATCTAAAACATTGAAAATTTTAAATTAATTATAATTATTTTGCTATTATTCTCTCTCTCTCTCTCTCTCTCTCTCTCTCTTTCTATACACACAATATAGCGTACATTTTACTTGATATGGGCGACCACTTTGTTGGCCTTTTGGATACCCCTAATGGACGACCAATTCTGGAACGACGGCAAAATTGGATACAATCCATTGGTGTCGGCCCTGTATTATCCGTTTTGTCGGTTAGTATGGGCTCTATGTATAGCCTCAATGATATGGTTGTGTTTGAGTGGTAACGGCGGTCTCGTCAATGCTGTACTATCCTGGAAGGCATTCGTACCGTTAGCTCGACTAACATATTCCGTATATCTAACCCATGCTTGGGTTGTCTGGATATTTTACGGCACCCGTAGACAGCTATTACAGCTCAGCGAATATCAATTGGTTTGTATATTAAATGTTTATTTTGCAATCAATAAATTATTTATAACTATTGTATTAATAATTGTTTTTTTTCAATTTTAATTATTATCAATATAGCTTCTCATATTTGCACATAATTTGGTATTTGCTTATATAGTGGGTGCAATATTTGCCATTGTATTTGAAATGCCCATACTCAAATGCAATAAATTGTTGCTACAACATTTTCAAGTAGTACCAAGGTACAACAACAATACTAATAATATCATCAATAATATTGATAATAACAAATTAAATAACAAACCTATGCTCAAAATGCATGAAATTGTAAGCAATATTCCTGCTTAAATATATATAGAAATTTATATATGATTTATCATTTAGTAAATTTTATTATAAACATTAATTGTTAATTTTTGTTATAATTTTATAATTAACATTAATATTAAATAATAGTTTAATAATAATAATAAGTATATTTAATTTTTTAATTTATTAATTGTTTAATTTAATTTTAAAAGTATAAAATATATACAGTATATTTTTAAAAATATTATCTTTTTTCTTAATAATAATAAATATAATAATTTAAAATATTTTTTGTTTAGTTATTTAATTAATAATATTTTTAACAATAGTAGTTTTCAATGATTAATTGAAACAAAAAACAAACAATATATATAACAGTGAAACTTTTAAATATAAACTATTTACATATTTAAATAAAAAATTCCAAATAAATAAATAAATAATTTGTAATATTTAAAAATGAGTAACTATAATATTTTAAATTAAATAAATGATATTATAGTTAAGTTTACTAATTAATATATAAAAAAAAATAAAATATTTGTTATCATAAAATTTAAATCTTGATAAGTAATATCTTGATCTGTATTATTCATTATTTATGTTACAACTATTTTACTATTCAATTAATCATTTTTATTACTGTTGTTATTTTAATCTATAAATTATTGATAAATTATAAAAATATTTTGATTATTATGTTATTTTCTAAAATACTAAACAAAACATTTTCATTATGTTATAAATAAATAATATGAATAAAAAAAATGAAAATATAGTGTTATTTAATTAATAATATAATTTGTTTGGCATTTTATTTATTGAAAATTAATAATTTAGACAAAAAAATTATGGTCTCAAAACATTTTCTCTAAAATAACGATTATTATCGCCCATCATATTGCCAGCGGGTCTATAGTTACAGACAGTATATGTTTCGTACCATTGCGAGCCCCGGCCATAGCATCGGGCACAGCCTACCCGTGAAGTACCTTTCCATACTAACTGTGTAAAGTGTCCGGTTCTACCTGAGAAGCCGGTAGTGTCATAGTTGTAATCTTTAACTTCATTGTACCTGATTTAGAAAAAATTAATTAATTATGTATTCAATTCTATATATATATATCTACAGTTATCAATTGTTTTTTAAAATATAACTATCCCCTCCCACCTAACACCACTTACCACATATCGATTGCTTGTCTACCCGACCCCACTACATTGGCCGAATTGCCAGACCAGGCCAGATTTTCGCCCGTACCTTTTGCTAGACCTGCGTGACCGTGACTGAGGCTCTCATATTGGGATATCAAATAGCACCGGGATTTGGCATAATCTATTAGCTATCATATATGTGTTGTATTTTTGTTATAGTTAATAGTTTAGTTAATGATATAATTAATTTTGTATTTACTGATTGATCACTGGTTAGACCAGGCGAGTGATGTCTGGCCCGATAGGCGTTACTGATTTGTAGGCATTCCTGTTGAAATTGATTATCAGTTTTGTCGGGCATTGCATTGCGAGCGTAACAAACTGTAATAATAATAATAATAATTTATAATTAAAAAAAAATTGTAAATTAATTACATTATTATAATAATTAAATGTTAGTAATTTAAATCATTATATGATTAATAAATATTTTTTCTTCAATTAACTTGCCTGCCACAAATAGCATAACAACTACAATTAATTTAAACATATTTATACTTTAATAATATATTTTTTGTTTATACAAATTTATTTTTTATAATTTGCGTGTTATAATAAAATGTATTATTATTATTAACAATTGTATTAAAAAATAAATTATATAATTATTTTTTTCAGTATTAAAACATTGCCTATTTATATATTTTGTGTTTTATACTAATCACAGTGTGATGACATAAACAACAATATGTGTGTACAATAATGAGTAATTATAGATAAAAATGATAATTGTAGATTTATTTTTTATTACGACAATTTCTATAACAAAATAATATATATTAATAAATTATAAATTGTAAACACTTGTTGATGATATCATAAAAAAAATATTTTTATATTAAAAACATTGTTTTAGTTTTACATAACTGTTTCATAGTGATAAATTATATGACAATTAATACAGTACTATACTGTATCATAGGGTATACAATATTACTACTATATTAGGATAATATGAATAAACAATATAATATAAATGAAATGCTTTAACTATAGATTATTGAATAATTAAAGTATTGTTGTTTTTTTCAATTATAATTATAACATCAATTTTAAAAAATGATACAAATTTGTTTATTATTTAAAAAATAAATAAATACAATATAGTTGAATATAAATAAATTATCTACTAATTTAAATTTATAAATCTAATTTAGAAAATAATTATATAATTAAAAAGTTTATACAGGTGTTTGTAAAATATTATAAATAATTAATTGCTGAGTAAAACGTATATATATATATGTTTACCTAAAATTAAACATAATATTTATTGATAATATTTTTATAATAAATTGAAATCAAACGTTAAATAAACAATAAATAACATAATTATATCCGGTTTGTTAACACCTTATAAACAAAAAAAAAACACTTTTTTTAAAGTTTATTTTTCTATTGCATAAAAATATTTTTTGATTTATAATTTTATTTTAATGCTTATTTTTTAAAAAAAGTTAATGCGAATATTATATTTTATTTGATAACTATATTTATATTTTCAATAAAGACAATGAAATAATAACAATAATAATTTTTTTTTTAATACAATTAACAATTTTTTATATCATCATACTGTATATGGAATTATATTAACATAATAGCAAATTTATATAATTGAACAATATAAATTATAATAACTATTATTTATTTTAGTTTTTTAAATAACAAAATAATACAAAACAATCACTACTAAAAATACATAAATTTATTACAATTTAGATTATGTAAAATATTAAACTAAAACAAAAGTTATTAAAAAGGATTAATTTTTAAATTGTTTAATTCATGCTATTTTATTAAAATTTATCAAAAAAAATTAAAAATTAAATAGATGACCAATAGCAAAAAAATAGATTATAATAATTTAATTTATATTAATATTTTTTAAATTAATTAAAGTAGATTAATATTAGCTATTACTTATTATTGGGTCACTTTTACATTTAATTTTTATCGATTTAATCATTTTTTTAATAAAAATGTTTTAATATGTGATATTACTATAAAAGTTTTAGTTAATAATATTTTAATATATTAAATTTAATTATCATATATTTTTAAATTATTGTTTTTATTATTATTTTACAAATGATTTTTTCCTAGTAATTTTCAATTTAAATTCTAATAGCTAAACTATGTAATTATTATGTAACTTATATGTTTAATATTAAAAAAAATGATTAAATAAACATTAATATTAATTTGTTATTGTTTAAAATGCTACATTTCAAAATAACACATTGTGTACTTGAATAATAGATTAATTTAATATATATATAAGTATTATAATGTACTTAAAACAATGACTATCAATAACATATAAAAATACAGTATCAATGATTATTAGTTACACAATAATAAATAAATTATAATTAAATTATTAAATAAAAAAAATTAGTTTAAAAATTTTTTACACGTAGACAAACATTACATATATCGACTTAATTATCTACATATATGATAATATTAATAAATAAAACTAACATGATGCATTGTATCTAAAAAATTCACGGTTAACATTTTGTATGTATGTGTATGTATGTATGTATGTGTGTGTGTGTGTGTGTGTGTGTGTGTGTGTGTGTGTGTGTGTGTGTGTGTGTGTGTGTGTGTGTGTGTGTGTGTGTGTGTGTGTGTAAGGAAAAACCTGATTATAATCACATTATAAATTTTATTTTTAAAAATTGTTTTAAATTTTTTCAACTATAATTTTTAGTTAGATTAATAGCTTATTATTATTATTATTATTATTATTATTAATGTACAGTAATAATAATATTATCATATTATTATTACAAATTAAGATTGAAAAAACATTATAAATACTGTATATATCAATATATCTGAAGTATTTTCTCAATGCTAAGTATCTCTCTCTCTCTCTCTCTCTCTCTCTCTCTCTCTCTCTCTCTCTCTCTCTCTCTCTCTCTCTCTCTCTCTCTCTCTCTAATGAAATGAAAACTATTGCTAAAATATGAAATATAAAATAAAAATCGTTAAAATAAACATTTTATAACATTTTTTCTGAAACAGACTGACCTCTAAAATCTGTACATTAATTAGCAAAAACATTAATAATGAATATATCTTTTTTTGATTTAATTATAAAGTAGTCAACAATTGCCTCGAGTATCAGTTACTTTATTTGTAATTGTGTGTAAAGCTTATTAACAATTAAATATTTTTTAAAAATTTATTTATTATATATTTATATAAAATTATTTTAGTTATATATAAATAATTATACATTAAATATATTTGAAATTGTTGTTATCATTTCTTATATATTATAGTATATATAAAAATAAATAAATCATAATATATTTAATTATATTAAATTGCTTAAAGTTTTCAATGTACATAATTTTTAAAAATATTTATTATTTATTAAAAAAAAACAATCGATAAGTTTTAAAAGTTATTAATGTGTAAAAATGTAATTACACAATAACAAAAATAAAATATTCTGCATATTAATTTATTAATAATAATAATAATAAATATATATAATTTATCACTTATTTTTGTAAATATCACCAGTAATAATTTTTTTTTAAAAAAATAAAGTTAAATATTTAACATATAACTTAAATACAACAACAAAAATACTCAACTGATTTGTCTAAGAAAAACAATAAATATTTACTATAAATATAAAAAATGTATTATACTTTACAGTATTATAAAGTTATGTGATATTATAAAATTTCTAAAATAAAATACTAATTAATAATAATAATATTAATTATTTAATTAGTCATTCACTAAAAATAGTCTATAAAAGATTATTGTATTGTATAATATTATAAATTATATTTTTTTATAAAATTATTTTATTTATAATAAAACATATACTATAAGGATGACAGTCTAATTTAACTCTTTATCAACTATCAAATTATTTTTAATTTTTGATTTTTAATGACTATCACATTTGACAAAAAAATATAAAACAATATAATTTCATATAAATAAAATACAATACAACAATTTATTTATATTTATTTTAAGTTTAATTGTTTTAAGTTTATATTTTTTAAGATTAATTTTCTGCTAAAAATAACTACATGTATCGTACAGTCTATTTGTATAACAATTTCAAATTTTTCATTATTGTAATGCAATTTCTTATTAATAAATAAATACTTTAAAAAATTATTATTATTATATATAAAAAACTGTCTATTTTTAAACAATATACAGTATATGATATTTACAGGTATACACTACAGTATACCTTGAGTTGTATATCCATTTGGTTTAAATAAAGCAAATATTTTTTTTTGCTTCAAATACAGTATATAATGTTTTAGTGAAGTTATCCTTGAATTGTTGAAATGAAAAAAATAAAAGTTTATGAGAGAAAGAGAGAGAGAGAGAGAGAGAGAGAGAGTGAGACAAATAAATGGATAAAAGATAATATAGTAATTTATAAGCATTTTTTATTCAACATTAACAACAACAACAACAACAACAAACTAAGTCCCCATATCTCATACATTTTTAATGTAATTTTATAATTTCATATTTGACTGTATGTTTATGTATGTATGTGTAGTTTTTTTTAAAAATATTTTTTATATAAAAATTGTTTTTTATGTTGTGTTGTATGAAATTTCAACATTTTTTTTAAATAGAAAAATTTCAACTAAAATCAATAATTCTAATATAGATTATTGATTCTAATAATAATAATAATAATAATATTATATTTATTTGATAACTTATAAATAAATTTTAAAAAATATTAATATTAATTTCAGTTAGTATTACTTTATATATATTTATATATTTTAAAAATACAGTATTTTATATTAATATGAAAATAATAAAAATTCAAAATAATAAAGTGTTATTATAATAAATGTAGTAAAAAAAGTTTAATATTTATAAATAAAAAAAACTATTAATAATTAATTTATTAATTTTAATAAATTATTAAATTATCTAATGAATTATCAAATATTATTATCATTAAAAGTTATTATTTATATATTACTATTATTATTAGTTTATATCATAAATATTACAAAATGTGATCAAAATGTGACAAATATTAACATATTTAATAATAATAATAATTTCAATAATAAAATAGTCAACAATTGGCAACATTTGATCAGTGCATCACATTTATTGACAAATGAGCCGAAAATTTCAGTTATTAAATCAATAATCTCATCGACAAACATAAGTCATGGCTGTCATCAAAGTATTGTCGATACCATTGAATCGTTTGGTCGACTCGAGGACTGGGCCTACGAATTGGTCAACTCATGGGGCAGTTTTCCACCCAAAGGTGTCATAGAGGGTACACTAACCGATTTTGGTTCATATGACCAGTGTTTGGCCATTGCTAACAATGAACGATTAGGACAATCCCAGTACTGTTTGGTAGATATTATTGTTCAAATGCCTCAACAAAAACAACCGGAAAACCAAAACTATTTCGATAGTATCAATGTTTTACCGGACAGTTATAATAAAACCAATGGCAATGTGTTTGTTAAGCTATCGAAAGAGTCGGTATTTTTTTATTTTTTATTTTTGCGAACCGGTATTTGTACGCCCGATAAGTGTAGCAAAAATGATATCAAATTAATGGTCAATAAATGTAATTAAATATTATTAATATTTTTTTTATTTTATGATTGAAATCTTTAGATTTTAAAAAAAAAATTAAATAATAAATATTTAATTAATTATTTATTTATTTTTTAATTAAAAAGCCATTGAAAATACGGGATTACAATTGAGAGATGTTTCCTGTGAAGTCAATACTGTTAAATCATTTAATTGGACGCAAACTTTTTCATTGTATGTATTGAATAATTATGATTTAAATTATATTAAGTTTTATTATATCAAAAAAAAACTAAATAAATAAAAATTATAACTATTACTAACTAATACTAACTTTTGAAATAACTTTTAAAACAATAGAATATATTTATTTTTTTAAGATTAGTAATTGAAAAATACAATTAAAAAGCAATAATTTTTATTTTATTAAAAAAATATGCTTTAAATTGTCTTATTTTTACATCAATATGTTTTGATAATTATTGTAATTTTCTTACAGTTTCTTCAAAATTATGTATTTATTTTTTATTTATTTTTTTAATTTGCCAATAGATCTGTGTTGTTAACATTTTTATTAATAACAATTTTGTCGTCAATTTTATTGGACTTTTTGCCAATTTCTAAAAGTAAACAAAACATTTTTTTTTATACATTATATTTATTAACATTTTTAATTTAAAACTTATTATATTATTATTTATAATGAAATGTCTACATTCACGTAATTATTTACAATATTTTTTATATATATATTATTAATAATAATAGTATTAACATTAAAAAAATATGTAATATATATATACTGTATATATAGTATATATATATTTTTTGATAATTTAAATAATATTAATTTTTTAAACAAGAATATTATTAGCTATATGCTTATTTTTAAATAAATTTTAAAGGAAAAATTAAAATTAACATATTGCTAATAATATTCATATTTAAATTATTAAATAATATATATATATATTATTTATTTAATGATATTAATAATAATATCATAAATATAAAAAATATTGTAAATAAAAGATTTATACATAAACAGTAAATATTTATACTTCTAGTTTAATAATATAATAATTAATTATTAGTTTAATACTGACAGTACAATACTAACAGTATTATTAAAATATTTTCATGTATTATTATATACTACTTAATTGATAATTAAAAAAAATAATTAAATTTTTTTTATATAGAAAATACTAGTTTTAGATTTTTATTGGAGTCATTCAGTATTAAACATAATATAAGCCGAATATTATCGTCCGAATCCAATCAGGAGTTGTCATGTATTCATGGCATCAGATTTATAACAATTGTTTGGGTTATGTTTGGCCATACCATCGACTGGACCTATTGGGGACATTTTAGTAATATATTTATACATTTTTTTTAATAGTTTAGTTTACTTTATTAAAAAATAATAATTATTTTTTTAATATTATTTTATTATATAAAAAAGGACAATCATTTAAAATGAAACATCTATTAACTGCACCGGAAAATCAAATATTATTGCAAGCCTTTTATAGTGTCGACACATTTTTCTTTATTAGGTATTTTTTGTATTTTTTTGATATTATTAATAATTATTATTTGCAATATATAACAAAAAATATTAATTATTATCATAATTAATTAATTCAATTTAGCGGTTTATTGACAGCTTATATAACATTGAAATACACTGAACGCCAATTAAATCAATTCAATTGTATCGGGTTTTTATTGTCCCGTTATATACGATTGACACCACAGCTCTGTTTCTTTATATTGTTAACCTATTTGATACCATTGATGAGTTCGGGACCCGTTTGGCGACAACATATCGACCCGATTGTCGACAATTGCTATACAAATTGGTGGCAAAACTTGATTTATATGCAAAACTTGTTAAATGCCGATGGATTTCAAATGGTATTTTTATAAAAAAAATTGTTGAATAAATTATATATGATTTTAATTATTATTAATTATTATTTAATTATTTTTTTAAATTTTAAAAATGACTATAAAAGTGTGGATTGCATACATGGTTTATAGCAGCGGATATGCAATTTCATTGGATATCATTGATTGTTATGTATTTTATTCATCAAAGTATACGCCGAGGACTGGCAGTTAATATACTGATTATTATTGGATTTATTGTATGTCCGGCAATCATAATCTATACAAATGGTTATCCGCCCTCACATATACTTACTATGAGAAGGTATTTCCCAATTATTTATAATTTAAATAAATTTTTATCATATAGTAATTATAAACAAAAAATAAAKATATTATGTAGTAATAGGAGTACACATTGTTTTTTTTAATAATAATAATAATAATAATTTTATTGACACAATTATTACTTTACTTAAGTATTATATATATATATATAAGTATTTATTTATTAATATTATTATTAATTTTGTTTTCCGTTGCAGTGATTTTTTGCACACAAAAGGGGAGACATTTAAAAGTTTTAATCAATTTTTTTGGAGTCCTTGGGCTCACGGAGTCGTCTTCTTTATAGGACTGGCCTTCGGATATCAAGTTTACAAATTRAATATAAGAAAACTGTCACCGGTTTGTCATAAATTCATATTTTTTWWWRAAAATTTWATTTATTTATTATTAGTAATAACAACTATAATATTGTAATAATAAAATAGATAATCACATTATTTATTCATTTTAAAACATAGTTTTTTGTGTTGTTATAGTTGTTAACAAACTTTTAAAAAATTTTATCTGAAAATTTTATCTATTAAATTMAAAAAACTAAAAACTTAAAATATAAGWAAACTAATCGCAAATTGTTGTTTAATACAGTATTAATATACATCAGACATATKCATACCTGAAATCTGAGTGATACTTAAAATTCATATATAAAAAACAAAACAAMAAAATATTTTTATCAATAATTTTAGCTTAAAACAGACAGGACAGTTAATTATTTATTATGCATATATCATATATGATATATRTAACTAATTAAATAAATACTGAAATTGATTTTTTTTTGTTTGTTGGTTATCTTAATGTCAGACAAGCAAACTGATAGTATGGACGGCACTATTGGCCAGTTATATGTTCATCTTTTACGACAGTCTTATCTGGGCTTATGGACAGACATTTTCGGCACCGTTAGCGGCACTGATGTATCCATTGAAAAAGATTATGTGGGCCTTGAACATGGCTACACTAATATGGATGTGCATATCGGGTAATGCCCCGACACTCAACTCGTTTCTATCGCACCGGGCGTTTACACCCATGTCTCGTCTGACATATTCAGTCTATTTGACACATGCCTGGACCGTATGGATCTATTGGGGATCCAAACGTGATTTGATTGATATGAAAAACTTTACAATCGCTACAATGGCTGCCAGTGTTATATTTGTATCGTTTTTCATTAGTCTATTGTTTTCGTTGCTATTTGAGGCACCTTTCTATGCATTACAGTCTCAGTTGAAAAACTTGAAAAGTAGTTATCGGAAGCCAATGGCTAATGGATGTACTGATCAAACTAATAGCCAATTGCTTGTTGTTGTCGACAATAATAATACAACAACTATAACAACAACAACACCATCGATGCCAACAACAAATAGATTTGAATTACTTGATTATAGACAGACAACAACTACGAAAACTGATGATAACTATAATAATATAACAACTAATGATAACAACATTTTATAATAATTAGTTTTTTTATTAATTAAAAAATAATTATATAATTTTTTTTATTAAATAGTTTAAATTTTTATTCTGTAAATATGTAATTTTTTTCTTTAAAAAAAAGTAAAATATTGTTTTCAAATTAGAATTTTATAATATAATTATGAAAATTTAGAAAAAAAAATAAAAGTTTATTATATTAAATCAATTATTTTAAACATAATGTTATTTTTATTTATTTTTACTAATAAATTATAGATAATAATAATTATAATATATTAATTAATATTATTTTTWTGTATCAATAGTATTATTATAGATAATAATAGTTGTTTACATAGAGTCTAAATGTTATATCAAGTTTTTACTAATGTTTTTTTTAATCAAAATGCTACACATAGTAACAATGTTTCAAATTAACTAATAAAATAAATTATTCAAAAAAATAGTTTAAATATATAAAAAAAAATATCAAGGTCAAATATCAAAATAAAAACTATTTAAAATTCTATTCAGGTGAATAATATATTTTATGAATTTATACAGTATATATTTATTATTATTTATATATATATATATATTGTATATAAGCATGCTAAAATTATAAATTAAAAAAAATATATTTAAACTATAAATATATTATTATTGTTGAATAATTCATTAAACTAAAATTTAATTTTAATATATATATATATTCTATATATTTGCTAATATCATAAAAATTATAGCAAACATATATTAGTAAAATTTTAGATGCATTATTAATTTTATATATATATATAAATATATTTTAAAAATATAAACTGTTTTCCAATTTTAATTTAAATCAAACTACATTAATGAGGAAGGTTGTTATAAATAAAATTTATATAAAAAGTGTAAACATCAAAATATTATTTTTTTTCTTTGACTTTTTAGRAAAAAATATTATCATTTTTTTTTTCTAAATGTGATAAAAATATTTGTAATCTGATTTTTTTTGTCATCAAATCACAGTCTAAATAATTATTTTGCTTAATAACAAAAAATTTTGTTTAAAAGAATTTTCCTAATTATTAAATAATTAGTATTTTATTATTTGTTATGTGTGTATGAAAACTACAGTATACTTAGTTTAACTAAACTACTACTATATTATAAATACAGTCTATACAAGATTAATCAAAACATCAAATTACATAATTATACTGTATTTATAGATAAATAGATTAATTAGTAAAGTGATACACAAATAATTTATATGGATATACAAAATTGAGGTAAATATATTATGGTATATATGTATTCATATGTATTAATATTATTATAAATTTATAAAATATTTTTATATAGCATAATAAATAATAAACTAATAGACAAATAAAATTTTAAATTTATTTAATACCTATGTATTTTAGTACATTTTATAAAAATAATTAATACTTAAATTTAATAAATTTTACTGTACTTAAACAAAAATATTAATTATTATATATATATATATACAAACAAACAACAAATTTACTTAAACTTAAATACTTAAGTAAATAACAAAATTACATATTTAGTATATATATATATTTACAATATTTAAAAATCATTATATTGTAAGATATCACTTATTATGAAAATTGTAAAATATTGTTGACATTTCTTATGAAAATTATGCAAAAAAAATATATTTTATTGTCTATTTCGCAGTAATTAAAAAATTTTACAACAAAAAAAATAGTTTATTTATAATAATAATAATTTATTGTATATAATCAACATTTACTTAAGTCTATTACGTATTTTGAAATAAAAAATAACATTATTATTATTATTACTTCTATAAAATGTGCGATAAATGTATATAAAAGATCAACAATATATTTATCCATAATTTTTATATTAATCATAAAGTTATTTGAAAATAAAAAATAAAATTTAAATTTTATTAATAATTTATTTTATTATTAATTATTATTAATATATAAATAGTAGTCAACAACAACAAAAAAACATCATCATTCAATCAGTTACAGTAAATAATATTTCATAAAATTAAAAAAAAATAAAATAAAATTATTTATTATTGTGTGATATATCCAATTAATTAATATTTCAAAATAAAAACTGACATTTACTATTGAACAAAAAATATTTAAACAACAAATTTCAATATAATTTTTAAAAAATGTTTAAAACTATACATGACCAAGTTTATATTATTATGATAACAACAATAATAGTTTTAATATTATCATCATTACCACAATCATCCTCATCATTATCATCACCATCACAATCATCATTACATTATTCAAATTGGTCTAAATTGATTGATAAGTTTGAACATTATAAACATAACTATTTAAATAATAATATCAAAAGTTTGATAACTAGTGCCCAACAATTAGACATTAGCAGAGATTGTAGACATAGTTTAGAGGAAAGTTTGTTGGCCTACAATCTGAACGAGGACTGGGCACACAAATTGTTTAACTCGTGGCCYAACTTTCCGCCCACTGGTTTCCTTAGCGGTACACTAACCGACTTTGGTGACTATGACCAGTGTCTGGCAATATCCACCACCACCACCACCATGCCGATGCTAGCGGTAATACCCAGTATTGTTTAGTCGACATCGAGCTACCGGTGCCCAAGCCTACCGGTGCGCATCGTAGTTTTTATCATACTATTCCAGTACTGCCATCATCTCATCAACAATCATTTAGTGATATTAAYGRCACATCATATCGTAACAACACTAACAACAATAACAATGTTTTTGTAAAACTATCGAAAAACAGTGCATTTTTCTATTGGTTTTTCATTAGACTAGGCATTTGTGTGCCCAATAAGTGCACATTAAGTGATATAACTTTAGTCGCTAATAACGGTATGAAATCTATTCAATTAAATTAAATTAAAAATATAATAATATTATTATTATGTTAGTTGTATTTTAAAAACCACAATTTTACTGAAAATTATTAATATTAAAACTATTTATTTTTATTAAAAAACAAAATAGCAATTGATAATTTTGGATTAAACTTGAAAAATGTTAATTGTGAGTCTAATAAAACAATTATACAATTAGATTCAATACAAATTGTTGCCATGTAAGTTGCATTTTATTTATTTATTTTTTAATTATTATTGCAAAATATATTATACATAATTTTTTTCAAATAAAATAAAAACAAATATATTTTTATTAATTAATTAATTTGTTTTTTTTAAATTATTACTACAATTATTAGTGTAACTCTATTATCGTTTTTATTGTTGTCGATATTTTCAATTTGCTATTTAAGGAGCACCAGATTTAATCATGGTAATTTAAAATTATTTTATTTATTTTTTTTAAATAATAAAAAAATGAAAATAATTTTATTATAATATTTTTGTTTGTTTTTTTTTGTTTTATTTAATTAAAGGTAAATCAATATTCAGCAATATTTGTAAAGCGTTTGCTTTTGATAAACATTGGCTGAAATTGTTTTCAACAAAATCTGGTCACGAAATACAATGTATTAATGGTATCCGTGTATTGACAATATGTTGGGTCATATTTGGACACACAATTGAATGGACTTTTCTTGGATTTTATCGTAATATTTAAGCAAAAAATAATATAAATTAAAAACTTATTTTGTTTTATTTTTTATATATCAATATATTTTTTATTAATTATAGAAAAAGTGTTTCGGATGAAAACAATTTTAAATTTACCTCAAAATCAAGTGTTACTACAGGCCTACTATGCGGTGGAAACTTTCTTTTTTATTAGGTATATATAAATTTTATCTAGATCAATTTTTTAGTAACCCCCCTCATTTACCCCTCACAAAAAAAATTAATTGATTAATTTGTTTCTCTCTTTCTTTCTTTCATTCAAAAAATTTAGTGGTCTATTGTTAAGCTATATGACTATGAAATATACTAAAGGAAAGTTAGCTAATTTTAATACTGTGGGACTATTGATAACACGTCTAATCAGATTGTTGCCACAAATGGCCGCTTTTATACTGTTGACAATGCTATTGCCATTAATAGGTTCAGGTCCAATTTGGGGACAGCATATCAATACAATTGTCAATAATTGTCGACAAAATTGGTGGCATAATTTATTATTTATGCAAACATTTTTGACTATCGATGCCGATGAAAAACAATTGAACATGGTAATTTTTGTTTTGTTTTTAAATAAGAAAACATATATWAATTTTAATAATTTTATTTCATTATTTTTATCAATAATCAAGTGTGCATTACATACATGGTTTATAGCTACTGATATGCAATTATTTTGGATGTCTGTGCCATTGATTATTATTTTATTGAAAAATAGACGTTTAGGACTTATATTAACTGTGGTAACAATTTTAGGATTTACAACACTATCATCGCTGTTAGTCTATTTCAATGACTATCCACCGGCGCATATATTTACTACTAAAGGGTATATACTTTATATATTTATAAATAATTTATTATTATTATATATATTATTTTTCAGTGATTTTATGTTTAATGATATGGAGTGGACCCGATTTTTTAAACTATATTTTTGGAAACCATGGCCTCACACTACTGTCTATTTTACGGGATTCCTGTTTGGTTATATACTCTATAAATATAACAAACCGTATAACATTAGAAATGTATTATTAATATTTACAAAAATTTGAAAACTTAGATTATTATACWCACAAAAAATCAAAAAAAAAAATTAATTATTATCATATTTTTGTTGTTGTTGTTGTTTAGAAACTAATAATATGGACAGTTGTGGCAATCGGTTATGTAATATGTTTTTTTGATATATTATTCTGGTCTGAAGGACAGCCGTATACGCCACTAATATCAGGCATATTATATCCGATGAAAAAACTTTTATGGAGTTTCAATCTATCGATATTAGTTTGGATGTGCGTTACGGGTAACGCACCGATTGTCAACTATTTTCTATCGGCCAAACTATTTGCACCGTTATCTCGMTTRACTTATTCAGTATATTTAGTACACGCATGGGTTGTCTGGACATTGTGGGCCTCCAGACGCGATTTAGTCGATATCAATACGTTTTCCGTATTATCCATTTATCTGACTGTAATGTTTGTGTCCTATATTTTGGGCACATTTTTTTCATTGCTTTTTGAGGCACCTTTCCTTATATTGCAGGCTTATCTTAAAAAATGTTTTTTAGATAAAAGTGATAACAACAATATAGTGATAACAAATACAGATGACATTGATTTGAATCGTAATTTTGTAGTAAAATAATACTTTTTGATTATTAATTTATTAATTTTTTAATTAATAAAAATTTTTTAATAAAACAAAATTAATAAAAAGTATGTTATGAAAAACACAATTTTTTTGTTGTTGTATAAAATTCAGTTAATAATTGCCAACCTTAATGATAAAATTTTTCAATGAATTTTTAAATTTATTATTATTATTATTATTATTACTAGTTTTGTTTTTGTTGTTGTTGTTGATAAATTTTTACTAAATGTTTTAATTATAGTAGTAAAAATGTTTTTTTTTAATTTAATTCAATATAAATTTTTTGAAATAATTTATAAACTTATCTTTTTTTTTTATTTTTTTTGCGTACATTTTTAATTTAGACCAAATGACTAAACTAATTATTTGTATTAAAAAAAATAAATAAATATTACATTTTATTATAAAGGTCAATGTTACTTATAAAAAATAATAATAATAAAACATATGTTTTTTATTTTTATGATAAATATATCAAATAAATTTATTGATAAATTATAAGCTTTTTATACTATATATTATTATAATAAGTCAAAAATTATTTTAATACTTTATTAATAAGGAATTTCCATATAAATAATTAAAATCAATTATTATTGTAAATTTAATCCGATTTTATTAGTTTTTTTATCATATAATAACTTATGTTGTTTATTTTTTAAAATTGTAATAATAATAATAATAATAATAAAATAATAATACAACTAAAATAAAATGTTTTAAACAAAACTGTTATATTATTAATTTTCAATATAATCAACTTGGAAACTATTTTCTTATTTATTATTATAACAATTAAATTATACAGATATATAATAAAAAATATTATATTTTTTATATAAATAATTTAGTTAAATTATAAATGTATATAAAAAAAATTCCAATAAAAAAAACCAAGGTAAATTAGTAATTTAAAATTACTATTATTTGTTTGTTTGTTTATGAATTACGTTTAAATACAATCATTGCTATAACAATGAATACTAGGGCTGTCATTAAATTGATGGCAAAACCGTGATAGACATAGAAATTAGTGAACGTCCAGCCCCTGAGCATAACATTCCTCAACGATTCTGTGGGCATCGATATCGGGCTATAATATAATAGTTTTCGTACTTCCGGTTCAATTGATTCGTTAGGAAATACGGCACCACTGGTGAACAGTTGGGACAATGTTATGAACAATGATAGGAAAAATGCTACAAAACTTTCCCTACAAAGCGATGATATTAACAAACCTATTAACAAACACAAAGAGATAATAATAATAATAATTTAATAAAAATAATTTCAATGTATTATTATTAATAATAATATTTTTTGGCGAGATAATGATGAAAACATTTTCTACTAATATCTAATATTTTTGATTTTTGTTTGTATGTTAAAATAATTGTTTTAAAAAAATAAGACAAACAATTTTTTTTATATATATTATAAGAAAATTATATAACAATAAATAAATAAATAAATAAACAACTAATATAAGCAAACAGTTATTTCAAATATTATTATTGTATTATTATTATTAAACACCTATTAATTTACATAAATGGTATGATGACAATGACACTAATCAATAATAATAATGTTAATACTTATTACTTTAAGTACTAATATATTTTAACAATGTTATCAAATTATGATAATTACTGTAATTTTTGATAAATTAATTTTTTTCTCAAACAAAATAAAATAAAATAATTAATTAATTTATATAGACTTCGGAAATTTAAAATAAATTACTGATAATTTTTTTTTGTGAACAAGTTTTTCACCACTAAATTTTCAAATCAAATATTAATATTATTAATGATAATAATTAGTTTATAAACAACTAGCAAATACTGTATCGTAAATTTTAAAAAATAATAAAAATAAATACCAGAAAAATTACTATAGATTTTTTGAATATGCTATTTGTTACCTAAAGCTATAAACAATTAAATATACTTAATATATAAATTTATATATTTTTAAAAAATGTTTAGCACAAAAAACAATAAAATAAAATAAATACTTAAAATTATTTATAAATAATAAAAATAATAACTATTTTTAATAATAACTACCTAATGATATAGCATTGACAGCTTGTGTCATAACCAGGACAACCACCAAACTATACGATCCATAATTGGTTATATCAAACCATATGAATGCAATCAATAGCATTAGTATGACATTCAGGAACGACATTAGAGATGATGTTAGAAAATGTGATACAAATATCAGTTGATGTCCGGCACCGGCAACTATTGACCGATCAAATAGGCCGTCCTTGCGTTCCTGTATTAGCAGTATGGATGACAGGGTTACTTGCGATAGATAAATAAAGGCAATCATATAGCCGGGTAGTAAGTAGTCGGATAGTTTTGAATCGGGTGCATATATAGTTTCGACCAGGGTTATCGGCGGCGGAATAGCTGGCCGTCCATTGGCTACCAGTATATCCGATATTAGATGCCATACTGACTGGGTTAACGAGTCGATCATAAATTGTGAATAAATATAGTTAGTATTGTCGATATAGACTTTTAGTTGACTGTCGGCCAGTGTTTCGTTGTCCAATCCATCAGCTAATGTATTGATGACTACCCTGTCTTCAATAGCATCGCTAAAATTTGGTCTAACAATAATGGCACCGGTAGCCCTGCCCTGACGTACCGCATCGATGGCCAAACTCGGTGTGTCGTATGTGTGAGGTTTCATATAATATAAGTCTATTTGTTTGATATTATTGAATAATTTTGTACTAAAACTATCAGTACTATTAATATCTCCATTAAATATTGCAGTTTTTATCTAATTGTATAAATCAAACATAAAAAACAACAATAATTTATTATATAATATTAAAATAATAAAATATCAAAATATTTTAATTAAATTAAATAGAAACAAAATTAACTGATTTAGATAATTATTTTTTTTTGAAAAAAAACTATTTTTTGTTGTTGTATTGAATTATATAATAATTCTGGCTTAAAGCAAAATTAATAAATTCATTAAGAAATACTATATAAATAAATTTAAATATTAATTAATTAATTAACTAACTAATTAGTAGATTAATTAATTAATTAATAAATAAAATTAATTATCATATAATCATTAGCTTACAGCAACTGAATCCACACCATAGATGATACACATAAGCAATGTTTGAAATGCTGGCGAAAATATCATTATAAATATGAGTTTGTAGTGTAAGTATTGTTTGATATTACGCCTAATTAGTATCAATAGTATCCATAGCATCGATACGTGTCGGTTGATATCGATTAAGCATTTTTTCTTACGACTAATATTTGTCTCATAATTATTATTATTAAATCCAATTGATTTGCATTTATTGTCTAACTTATAGTATGCTTGTAGGCCTTGTTGTTGTCGATTGTTGTCATCAATAATTTTATTATGTTTTTCATTAATTTGATGTCTATTACATAGCCTAATGAATACCATTTCCAATGATTGTTCCGTATATTTGTCTAACAGTGCTTTGGGTACCCCTTCCTCGATCAGTCGTCCGTCTCTCATAAATCCAATTGAATGAGCATTGACTGCCTCTTCGGTATAGTGTGTGACCAACAGGACGGTCATCATTTCCCGTTGACACCCGTCCTGTAAGTATTGCCATATTTTGTAGCCTAACTCGGGATCGGTACCTACGGTTGGCTCATCCAGTATCAACAGTTTGGGCTTATGTATAAGCGCCAGTATCAGTGATAATTGCCGCTGTTGGCCACCCGATAGCTGATCAATTGACTTATCAATGTCGGGAACTCCTATTTTATTGTCCAACTCTTTGAGTCTGATTTTTTTTAGGAGGGGGCGGAATTATTTATAATTAATATTACAATTTTAGTTAATTTAAAACTTTTTTATAGATATGTAATTAATTATAAACTATACTAAAAAAATTAATTATTTAAATAATATTAATATACTATAAATCATAGTTTATATTTGAAATATATTACTGATATTAATATACTGGACATAATATAATTAATTATATGTATATGATTTTTAAGTTTAATCATCAAGGGTGGTTATTAAAAAAAAATAATTTTTAAAAATTTCAACTAGTACTGCAATAAAATTAATTATCCTAGATTATTTCGAAATTTTACATTGTTGCATAGTTAACTAAATAATAATAATAATAAAATTGTTATTAATAATATCCATTAAAAATTTCCCATTAAAATAAATATATTGAACATATTATTACAAAAAAAAGCCATTAATATCCATAATAACTAAAAAATTTTCTGACATTGAAATAATTAATTTATTTTTATTTTTTTTTGTTTGTTGAACAAAATATAAACTAAATCATATAAATAAATGAAAATCTAATAAAAATATTATATTTTAAATATATATATATTTTTTTTAAAATAAAAACTAAATATATAACATACCTTTCCATAAATAGATTGTCCGACATGTGATATAAGTTAGCAAAATATTTAAGTGTTTGTCTGACCGACAATTGCAAACATAGGGCACAATCCTGTGGCATATAACCGATTAGGCGATTGTTTTGACCGCACGGTGAGCCCAATACCGATATCGAGCCACTCTGGAGGCCAACTCTACCCAAAATCAGCCGCAATAGTGTAGTCTTGCCGGCACCGCTCGGACCTAACAGTCCGTATATTTTGGCTTCGGGTATACCCGTATAGATGTTGGCTAACACACGGTTAGCTTTGTATCGGTAGCTAACGTTTGTCACACAAATAGCACTCATTTTTTTATCACTTTTATTATTATTATTTAATAAAATTATTTATAAAACTTTAGTTATTATTATTATTATATTATTATTAATATTATTAATCACTAAGTAGTACTAAATTTTTATTTCAAACTAAAAAACATATTAAAAACGTTTAGATATAAAATCAATCAGTAATAAAATAATTGGGAAAAAAATATTATTTATTAAAAATTATTTTATATAATTGGTTTAGTTTTTTTAGTTATAATAATTTTTTTGAGGGGGAAATGACTTTGAAATTTTTAATTATATAAAACTATTTCATACATATTTAAATGCATATTAAATTAAATAAAATAACAATGATAATAAATAAATTATAAAACACTTAAATACATCAATAAATATTATAATAATTTTATCATAATATTTAATAATATTAATATAGTTTTATATATATATATTTTTTCAATAACTGTTACATGAAAAATGATAAAACTATATAGATTTTCACTTAAGAAAAAAAATTATTATTCAATTGTTTTTTTTCTCGTATTTTACACTTAAATGAGATAATAAAAATTTGTTGTGAAAATACAGTGTTAGAAATAATTATAATTATTATTATTATTATTTTATTGAAAAATTAAAGGCGTATTGTTTTTTTAAAAAAAATGCATAACAATCACACATCTAATGAATAATTGTGTGTAAAATAAAACGTTTTAAACAATTTACACAATAATAATATAATAATATCAATAAAACAAAAACAACTATTATTCACTTATATAGAAATATATAGACAGTATAAACAACTAATATATAAAAAAAACTTGACATAACATTTAAATAGACATTGAATAGCTTTTATTTTTTTAATAAATAAATAAATAAATGCCAAAAAAACAATAAAAATTTTTGGTGAGAGTAGTTTGGTGTGTGTGTGTGAATCAATGATAAAATAATTTTTTTTAACTTAAAAAAATATTTTATGTATTTATAAACTTGAAGTCTGCAAAAATTAATTTTAACTATATTTACACAATTGTAAGTACTTTTCAATAAAACAAATCTAAATAAAAACAATAATAATAATAATAATAATCACAAATAAAGTATTGAAGCAAAAAAAATCAATAAAATAATTTAACTAATAATTTCAATTATTTATATATTTTTTAGTATAATTATTATTATTATAAAATTTGATTGCTGAAAAAATATGATTAAATTTTATTGTTGTTATTTCATACTTTTTTTTAAATATCAAATATTTTAAATATTATTAATTGATGATCACAATGAAATTATATTTATATTTATTATTAAAAATAAATTAATACAAATAACACATGTTATATATTATTCAATATATAATTAACCATAAAATTATCTACAAATCAAAATAATAATAATAATAATAATATGTTTAATAAATATACTGCTAATGAAAATCTTTTCATATATATAAACCTTTCTCTCTCTMTATATATATATATATATATATTAAAAATACATTCACTTATTTCACATCACATCGAGATATTGAAGACATAGAGAGAGAGATAATTAGAAAGAGAGAGAGAGAGAGAGAGAGAGAGAGAGAGAGAGAGAGAGAGAGAGAGAGAAAAGTGAGAAAACATTTCTCAATTCAAAATCCACAGCAAAATCACAGTAAAAATCTCTCTATCCTTGACTTATAAATAAAATGTTTAGCTATATATTGTCGTTAAATATACTTTAAACAAACTTATAGTCTTTTTTAAATTATATATATATATGAAAAAAACTGAAAAAAAATTCTTTTACAAATTTTATTAGAAACATCACTACATTTTTTTGTGATTATATTTTACTAAAATAAAGTTTAAGAAACGACACCAAAAAAAAAATTGGTTTAATAATTATATTGAGAGTGAATTAAACTGGTATGTGAACAGAGGGACAGTTTATTACATACCATACCATTGCCTATAGAGAGAGTGAGTGAGTGAGTGAGTGAGTGAGTGAGTGAGTGAGTGAGTGAGTGAGTGAGTGAGTGAGTGAGTGAGTGAGTGAGTGAGTGAGTAAGTGAGTGAGTGAGTGAGARAGAGAGAGAGAGAGAGAGAGAGAGAGAGAGATTATACCTGAAGTAACTGATATAAATCGTAATGAAATATATATATATATATATAACTAATAAACTATAAATGCCTTAAAGTTAATGTTTTAAAAATTAATTGTAGTGAAGGTTAGTTAAAACAAAAATGTTTGTGTAAAGTATGACTAAAAATATTTTTTATTTTTTTTTATAAAATACTATAATATGTTGCATATAATATACAGTATATATCTTACATAAATTTAAAGTCAGTATATTATAAATATAAGTTTTTAATAGTTATGTCAATAGATATATTAGATAAAACAAATGTAGTGTAAAGTACAGTATAAGTAGATTCCAGTATATCTCAAGTCTATCAATACATATCATTACATTAATACAAAAAATTTTTGTGTGTCATTTATTTATTATATTTAAAAGTGTATTAAAAACTATTAAACAAACTCATTTATAAAATACATTGAATTATTATTACATTAGCAATGATTATATTAATAACCATAATATTGACCCCAAGATTTTTTTTGTATGTGATGTGAATATCATTTTTTTTGTTGTTGTGGAAAACATATTATACATATAAAGTAATGTAATAATATATTGTTAAATTATGTGATAGTATTATTATATCATCACTAAACCCTGATAATTATAACTTAATTAAATTAATATTTATGAAAAAAAGTATCTAAGAAAACATCAGTTTATTTTATACGTTATTTTATATATAAATATCTATATAAATGTTAATCAAAATGTTTAATCAATTTATTTTATCATAATTATCCTGAAAATATTAATCATATTAAATGACTATTAAAATGACAATTAAATAAAATATTTATAAAAAAAAAATTATTCCTAAGTGATAACAAATTTTAAATTTATTTTTTTAAAACTAATTTTAATTAGATTTCATTTAATATTAATATATTTTTTCAAAGTATATGTAATAAAATTATTAAAAACAATTTAAAGTTAAACTATAATATAATTATCATTTATAGGTAATATCATTTATTTTTTTTATATTATATTTTTAATACAATTAACATTGAACTAACTCATTTAATTATGTTAATGCATATAAACATTTGGTTATCTGTTAATTATATATATATCTATACACTAATTAGTTTTGATGTATTATTTACAACAACAAAAAAAATTATTAGTATTTTGTAAAGTCTATAATTTAAAGGTGAATGAAAATTTTTTTAAAATAATAATTTCCAATTTATATTAATATTATTCAACCAAATGGTAAGCATTTAAAGTCAATCAAAAATCACTTAAACATCTAATTATATTAAATAATAATAATAATGATAATAATAATAATAAATGTTACAAACAATTTTCACTTTAATATTTAAAAAAAAAAATTTTTTACAATAATAAAATTGCTTTATAAAAATTTTCAAGGATTATATTAGCTATCAATTGTGTTGTGTTTATATAAATTGATTATTTATTGTTTTTTTGTTGTGCTTTTCAATAACTAATGAATCATTTAGTTAATCAATAAATTATTACTCTAATGACATTATGGTTTAAACCTTTTATTTATTTGAAATATATAAATATTTTTAAAATAATTATAAAATAATAACTGTTTTTAAAAATAATTATAAAATAATAGCTGTATTTTTAAAAATAATTTAGAGTTTTCAATGTAAAAATAGACTATAATTTTAATTTTGTTAAATGTTTTACAATAATTTATTTTGATTTTTAAAATTTATATTATGTAATTGTAAAATAAAATTAATATTATAACAGTTTATTTAAAATAAAAATTCAATAATTTATAAAAATTAGTATATGAAAATTACTAATAAAATTATATTATTTTATTTTATTAAATATTAATTATTAATATATATATATATTGCATTATTATTTATATAACACCATTTACTATTGACTTATAATCAATTGTAATATAATAGTTAGATAGTATAGTGTATTATCAGTTACAGATCAAATTGCACCAAAAAAACTAATTATTTATTAATTTTATAAATCAATAACACATTTATAATAACAAGATTTATATCTATTAGTATCAAATAATTAAAATTGATAAAATAATAATAATAATAATAATAATAATAATAATATTATACTACATTAATATTTTTATTAGTAAATAAATATCTTATAATTATCACATGACAAAATTGTCATATATTAAATGTTTAATTATAACCTTGGACAATTATTAATAATATCATGTTTATTATAATAACAAAATTAATAATATATTTGATGAAAAATAAAATAAAATCTTATTGCTAAAAATTAATTTTTTTAGAGTAATACTGTTAGAAAAACAAAACAAACAAAACTTTTGAAATAAATAATAATAATAAATAAAATTTATTTTTATTTTTTAAAAACCAGTTATCTATAAATAGCTATTTATATTATTAATTTATTAATAAATACAAATAATTTTGAAGTTTTGTGCATGTTTATAAATGTTTTAATTTAATAAATTTTCAGTTAAATAAATATTATATTTATATAAGATAAAAGTTTTTAATTTAATTATATTTACCCACTAGATATAAATTACAAACTTCAATATTAATCTATTGATTTTTTTATTATTTAAAATGTTATTATAAATTTTTAGACAATTAAAATATATACTGTATATGTAATTATGGCAAATCAATTATCAATGAATCGATCAATCAATTGAACAAAAATAATGATAAAAATTTAGTTATTAATCTATAAAGTAGTTGACAAACAAACAAAAAACAATGATTATATTGTAATTTTGTCCACAAAAAAAATTAAAAAATTATAATATAAATTATTATCCTTGAGTATAAATATTAATATATTTATATAAATTATAATAGTATTAAGTTTATAATATAAAATTATTTGTAAAAAAAATCGGTTAAAT